GCTGCTGTTTTTGTTTTCCTTTGGTTCATGTTTATTGAAAAACCTCAGGAACAGAATATTATCTGAAACAAATGTAATATGCAATCCTTTTGATTCCCTGTAGTTCATCAAGCGTTAAATAGCAGACCATTGTAAATGACATTATATTACTGGTTACGTTTTTTTTTTCTTCTTGCTTCTGTATTGTAATATACCTGAATGAATACATACTTGCTCCTCTGTCTGATATGGTCATGAATAGAAAAACTCTCTAAATAAGGTTTAAAAGCCTTATTTATGCAGATCATTAGCAGCAAAATGTCATCTTTCTCCAAGTTAATTAGGCACTGGAATTCTTTGCAGATGCATCTGATTTGATGTAGGTTATTGGTAAAAAAAACATTTCTGAGTAAGGGCCCATTCACACCACATCCAGATTACCTCCAGACCAGACTGTTTCTGGACCCAAAATGCATCCCAATGTATCCCTATGCTATATCTGGCCTCTGTTCCCACCAGCGCAGTCCAGACCAGACCAGACCAGAAAAATACTCATATTGTCTGGTCTGGAATGCACTGAAACGCATCAGAAATGCATGGAACGCACCTGTAAGACCATTGTAAGTTTAAAAAAATCCAAACGCAGAAAAAACACAATGGACTGCATTCCAGATCTGGTCCTGAAAATGGTGTGAACCCAGCCTAAAGGGGAGCACAGCGTGGTATTCATTCTGCCAAAGTGATTTTGGATTTGGTAACTTAAAAATGATAAATTTTTCAGTTTAAATGTTTATTGTATTTGTTTTGTATTATAGTTTGAAAGGTTAGGAAGCGTTTTTTTTTGGTGCATGTGTCTTTGTGAGGAAATGTTTTCCTTACTTTTGCTGTTGTGTCACCAGGACAAAAATTAAGGGGGAATCTTACTAATAGGGAAAGATCTATAAAAACCCAACAGAGGGCCTTGCTACTTCACTGCTATAGGCAAAACTTAGGGTTTCTCTAGAGACCCGTCCAGCAATTTCATGTTACTTTCTGCTACTAAGATACTGAAAATAGAGATCATGTAGCGCAGTAAATGCATTTGTTTGCACTTGTACAAATGGTATCTCCGTTAATCTTGATATATTCTGGTATTGAAGTTGGCACTATTTTCCTCTTTACTGCCACAAATTATGTAATATATAAATGGAATTAAGGGTGTCATAAAAAAAAAAGGATGCTGTTACCCAGTTTTCAAGTTACAAAGTGAACAAACTTGTACTAGCTGTGGACAGTCCCAGAAGCTTCCTCTCCGGTCCAATTTTTACCTAATAAGCTCTGTAGATCCGCCTTTCCTCAGCACTTTCTGTATATTTCTTGCCGTTCTGTTCTAAGATCTTCACCGAGTGATCTCTCTGGGGCTACAATCTTCAGAATGTACCAGTACGTGCATGCATGCCATGACCTCCATTTACTTCGGCCCGTAGAAGCAGTAACCCAATTCCCCATCAGACACAGGCATTGTATGACCCACATTTCTATTCTGTCATTTCCTTGTTTGGACAGATGCTGAAATTGAAACCAGCCACAGACAGGCAGATCTTTCACTGAGGATAATGAGATGAGAGCACATGTTAAGGAAATAAAATAAAATATTTTAGCTCTTGCCCTGAGCAGAAAAATAAAAGCATATCAGTGCAACTAGAGCTGCAGCTAACTATTATTTTTAAAATCGATTAGTTAGCCGATTATTACGTTTTTAAAAATGGCTCCAGTGATGGGACGACTTTAGTTTGTATTGAGATTGTAGTCTATCACAGGAGCAAGCTTGGAGCGGTGGAAGTAAAAAAGAAAAAAAAAGTGTGGTGTGCAATATAGTGAAATGGAAAGTGTAAAATTATACAGCAATGAATGCAGAATGGCATCGGCTATAGAGGACTACAAGACCCAGCAACAGTACATTATAGAGCGCAATGCAGAATACCACCAGCTATATAGGAATACAACAAATCCCAGCAAAAGTACATTATAGCCGGCGGTATTCTGCATTGCGCTCTATAATGTACTGTTGCTGGGTCTTGTAGTCCTCTATAGCAAGTAGTATTAGGGATTGCACCACTGTATAATGTATTATTGCTGGGATTTGTAGTCCTCTATACAGCGCAATGCAGAATACCACCAGCTATATAGGAATACAACAAATCCCAGCAATACATTATACACGCAGTGTATAACTTATTGCTGGGATTTGTAGTCCTCTATAGCTGATGGTACGTTGCTCTGTATAATATACAGCACAATGTACCTGGCGGGTCTGGCAGCGGCAAGCGTGAGGTGGGGAGGAGATGTGGCGCGCAGCGTGTGTGGAGCCGTGAACAGGGCCAACTAATCGGAAGGCGATTAATCGATGATTTAGTTCATTAGTTGTTGCAGCCCTAAGTGCAACGCATTAAAAATACACATGTCAACTCAAGTGAGTTAAGTGTGTGTCAGCACACGCTAAACACAAAACAACTAGTATGAATCCAGCTGTTTTTAATTTTTACTTGTTTCTGAGACATTTGCACTGAATTCCTACACACCTTTATACTTGCCGTGGCTGCTCTGCCCGGTTTGGCTGATAGAAATAACCACTTACAGCTGCAATAAATAAAGACAATAATTTGACATAATAAGGGATTTGTGTGCTCTCAGCTCCTTCACTACTAATCATTTCACGTGCTTCAGAGACCCATTTAAAAACTGGTTTGTTGCTAATGAAAGCTGCTACACTTCCACACTGTGATTTATTGGCGTGAGTGGTAATTCCCCCTGGTTTTGTAGATACATTGGAGATCTGAATCAATTATTTAACCTGCAAAAGTGTTGAAATAAAAATATGTAAATTATTCACTGAGCTTTAATTGCAGAAAGCCGCCTTGTGTTTTTCAGCGGTCAATTCTTGGAAACCATAATGGAGGTGCTAGACTATTTGGTGTGACACTATATCCTTTTTTTTTTTTGTCTATCTGGAAAAGAAAAAAAAACTGTAGTCTCCAATAAGAAATTCCCAAGGCATCAAAGGGTTAAATGATCATAGTTATAAGGGGGTTAACTAAAGGGCCCATTTATAAAAAACGTAAAAGGAGCAATTGGGACAAAAGTATACTTTGTGCATATATTGTGCAGTCAAAGTTTTTTGAATAATTTTACCACAAAATAAAATGGCCACCATGGGGGCAACTCCACGCAAACTTTTTATAAAGAAATGTTATTCTGGTCTATGTTGACTGCAAACACTCAGTTCTACCGAGGGGAATAAAACATTAATTTTCAATAGAACCTGATTGAGAGTGCAGTCCAAATGACATAGGAGGGAATTTATCATAGCAATTGCGAGTGTTTGAACTCGCATATGGTCACATGGGATATATTTGCGCCAGATTTATGTTGCTAGTGTAATGTAATGTTGTTCATAAATGAAGTTAAATAGACTCCAGGAAAGAAGACTCGTAACTTCAGGCCAAAAGCTTAACTGTCGCTTCTTGAAGAGGTGGTCATGGGGACTTCTTAAGTTGCGATTGTTTTTTTAGGTGATGTGCAGTTTCAGACAGCCGCAGGACAAGCGCAGATGTAAACAGTTGCGAAGTTTCGCAAAACACGCGCAATTGGAAAAATAGTGCAAGCTCTGGTGAAATGTCGCCCAGAACAAGGGACCCTGCATAGCCCTGAAACGTTGGCTGTATGACGCATGTGACCATTTAATAAAAAGTGCTTTACATCTTGCACACCTCATCGAGTGCTGGTGACTTTTTTATGCACTGTATCTGACACGGCGCTATCTGTGTTGTCACTTCAAGCACCAACCTTTCATCCAAGGTCTGTATGCTGTATGGAGTGCAGGTGATTTTGTATTATCTCAGGTGAAAACAGCCGCACATGTTAAAAGGAGCGGCTAAACAGATTTGCACATAAAAAAAAAAATCTGAGACGCTAAAACGATCGCAATTGCGTTTATAAATTCCCCAATAGTATCTTGATAAGCTAGGCCAGAGTGATCTACTGAACATATTAATGGAGAATTCAGGACCTAAGTGCAGTATTGGCAGGAAAAGGCAATCTGAAACAACCAGGGGACTTGATCTTCATTAGACTAGGGAAGGAACAAATAAAAAAGGTGGCTGGTGGAATGTTCAGTATTGGCCACCTGGCTTGACTTTCCTGCCCTCAACAAGTGATTGTATTTTATTTTTACATAAAGGATCAGATATTGTCACCAAGCTTACCTGGACCTTGTAGGTCTTGAAAGTAACTTGTGTTGTTTGTACTTGTGTCATTTTGGCAGTCGATGGTTACATAAGCCATATGGAAATTAATTTTTACTTGTATACGTCTCTTTATGCAATTAAAGTGCTTGTAAAATAAATGGTGGAAAATTGTGACTATAAGCTTCCCTAAACCCAGAGCAAGAAGTTAATTTAGAAACGCCAGTGTAAATGATAACACATGGTTCTCTTGGCAAACAGATTTGAGCTGTGATTCCATTAATGCAGTGAGGAAATATTAGTAAACATTTGATTACTTGGTATGGTTATTGGCTACATTGTGCTGATTTTTTTATTGAGACCTTTAGCTTGTGGTTTTCAGCAGGGTGTAAAGTCTTGAAAGGACCACCAGAAAAGCATGCATGAACACCATTCCCGCCACTAGATGGCACCAAGGAGCAGAGGAAATTCCTGTGCTCCTCAGCTCCTTCCAGTGGTGGGAATGCTGTAAACACATTTACCTCTTTTGTGTTTTTGGCAATGTGTGGTGGTTCTTTATATATTAGGAATTTTCTTTTATTCTTGTAACTTTCTTTATTTTTAATACTCATGGTGTATTTTTCTTTTCTCTTCCAGTGACCAAGACTTCTCCAAAAGCGAGGAGACATGTAATGTTTTTAAACATCCATTGGTTTTCTGTCTCCTTCATGATTTGCACTGTACAGCTAAGCCTGTGACAGGATGAGAAGGTTACAAAGAGGACTCGTTTGGTGCAAGAACAATTGTGTAGAATAAGCTGACACACGCTGTTGTGATTGGAAAATGAAGGAAGTAATCTACTGGTCACCCAAGGAGGTTGCTGACTGGTTAACCAACAGAGGTCTACCGGAATACTTGGAGACCTTCAAATCCCTTAATGGCCTAGGCTTGCTCAGGTTAAAAGAAGATGACTTTGACATGCCACCGCTGTCCCTTGTCTCTTCTGATAATGGAAGGCAACTTCTGGAGATGATAGAAACACTGAAAATTGAGCATCACATAGAGGAACACAAGAATGGACATGCAAATGGACATATTTACACCAAAACTGAGATCAATTCGAACGATCATGCTTTCACCAGCAAAGTCAAGAAGAATGGGATGCCAAATGGAATCCGTAAGGAAATGATAAAAATTCCTATGCCTGAGATGGACCGTTCTCAGTCTTTTCCTGATGAGTGGATTAAAACGCTTGTAGCCTTTTTATATGCACTTTCCTGTTTTATGTTCACCACAGTGATGATTTCTGTCGTCCATGAACGTGTGCCTTCCAAGACAGAGGAAGGTCCCCTTCCGGATGTATTTTTTGACCATTTTGACAGGGTTGCATGGTCATTCTCAATTTGTGAGATTAATGGAATGATTCTAGTGGCACTCTGGATTCTCCAGTGGTTATTCCTAAAGTACAAGTGAGTATGCTTTGGGTAAAATGTTTTATGTTCATCGTCCATTGATTTCACTGTAATGGAAAATATTGGATTTCTGCATTCTTTACAGAGTTTTGGTGCAGTTCTTTAATGGACTTTTCTGTTATCATGATATGATACGTGATGTAGCATTGCAAACTGAAAGACAGCAGTGTCTCTCCACCAATTTAGTTTATTCTTATAGCCTATTACAGTCTTTAAAGATGGTAACGTCTTAAAGAAAATGTGAAGTGGTAAAACATCGAAGTAGGAAAAATTGTAGCGTTTACTGTTCATTGTTCTACATTGACGCTTTTCCTCTGCTGTCCACATGTAAAATGTAAGTTATAACACCACACATGACACAAAGCATGTGCAAATCTTACAAAAGTAAGGGGAATCTGGCTTTTGACAGCTGTCAACAGGAAGATCTCTCCTCTGAGACAGTCTTAAAAGTTTGGATTTTCACTCTGCCCTGATTCTAACCCATCTCCACTCTTGCCAAACCTAAGGGGAAAAAATGTCTATAATTCTGCCCTGATTATATATTATGTACAAATCCAGGTAAAATGAGACTCTCTGACTCTTGGTGTGCCAGGGGTAGTGTAACCTAGAGTAAGTGGCATCTCCTTTTATGTTCTGGGACTTTTCTTTCAGACCCCTGCCGATGGGGTATTTCATCAGTGATTTTGAGTTTCCCTTCACACTGTGGCTGTACACTGTTGATTTTTTTTCTGCTACATTCTAGTTTCAGCCTCAGTAGCTTATTGATCTCGGATGACTTTTCAGATAGAACTGTGTCTCCTAAGAAAAATGAAAGCAGCTCTGTGGAATTCTTTAGCCTCAGAGATGCTCAGAAGTGCTATGAAAATAGCTTGTCAGTGGGGGTCTTAGGATGGATAGCCCTGTCATGGAAGTGAAAAACCTAAAGTCCTCATTCAGGGCATTATTGGTAGCAAGAGTGTTGGGGCTGACCCGAGCCAAAATCTTTGAGGCCGAGTTTACTCTTTAGTTCCCTCATACAGGGAAAAATCAGCAATGGACTGAGATTTTATGTTGTATAATGTACAGCTTTAGTAGAAGTTAAACTCCATACAAATATCTAAAAACACAGTTGAAATACATGTATAGGAGCCATGTTACCTGCCAAAGTGTTTGTATTTCTGCTGGTCTTATTCTGACATGCATAACCAGCTTGGTGACCTGATTTTTTTGGAATCCAGTTGAGCACTGCAACCTGGTCTCCTCTCTGTTCCCCGCCTGTGATTGCTAACTGATGAATCATCCTTCCAAGGTGTGTGTGTGTGTGCGCGTGTACGTGTATAAGTGTCATGCTGCATGGAAAGAGAATCTGGATTTGTTTGCACTAATGCCATATTGGTAACCTCAAGAGGCTGGGCAACAGGATCAAATGGTAGCCTTTCCATCTGTCAGTCAAATTTACAGTATGTACATCTCAGGTAATTGCTACACTATGTCGTTTATTTTGTAGTTGCATGAAATATAAGTTTATATCAAAACTGTTTGTTCCCCAGCAATAAAGAGACCCTTTCCCATACTTTTATAATTCATATCAATCTTTCCATAAATTCATATATCAAATGACTTTGTTTTTGTGCTTTTAAACTCACTGTAATTATTGATATTATGATATTTAATAGCCCTGAGGCTATTGGATGCACCAGCAGCAGCCCCATGCAGACTCAGAGCTGCCACTCTTTAGGCCCCGTTCACATTGAGCGATTTATCGCGCGGTAATTCCCGCAATATCACGGCAATTTACCGCGCTATATCGGTCTCCAATGCTTCTCAATGGGGCAAAGGGTCCTGCTGTCGCGGGTCGTGCGTCGCTACAGCAGGACCCTTTTTGGAGCGGATTTAGCCGCGATTCAAGCTTGCTCAATGCAAGCATTTGCGCGATTATCGCACCGCTCAATGTGAACGGGGCCTTAGTATTCCTCTGCTATCATTAATGCTGGCCACACACTATGCGAATTTCGGACAGTTCTTGTTGAACCAGCTGAAATTCGCACAGTGGATGCCGCTGTCGGCACCCTTCGATCAGCTGATCGAAGGAAACGGTCGGAAAATTTTTGAACAGATTGGCTGCCAGAATACAATGTAGACAGCGGGAGATTCCTCAATCAAAGCTCGTCCGTGTTAATGGAGGAATCTGTTATATGTTCTTCGTTGAGCCCACAGGTTGAACGAAGAAAATATTAGTGTATGGCCAGCTTTACTTATGTTTGAGACACACAAAACAGCCTCTCATGTCTCTGAAGACGAGGTAGAAAGGCCGATAGTGGGAGCTCACATCTCATCCATTCTTCCAATATTGCAATATTTGCCAATATTTTGTGCGCTACCTTTTTTCAATTTTTTCATGTTTGCACAGATAATACATCACTAATCTTGCCTTGTTTCAATAACGTTTGCTAACAAGTAGCTATGCAGTCTCCTGCTCTCTGTTTACATAGCAGCAGGAGTCGTGACTGAGCCTTGCAGGTACTTTTTTTTTACTGCTACAAGGTTTTTTTATTTAAAAGTTGGGCCTGGAAAAAAGTTATTTTCTTTGTGGACATCCTGTTTTATGGCACAGTTAATAATCTAAAAGACAATTATGGCAACTAGAATCATATTTGCCATTTCTTGCTGTCATGGGAAGAATGGCTTTAGAATATACACATGGCATTGCACATGGCAATGTAAAGTCTAGGTGCATCTGGAGCTAAGTCCTAAAGACACTTGGAAGCATGCAATGCTTTGTTGTGGCTGAATGCACACCTAGATAATTAGGTGCATTCAGTCTAGCTGCGTTTGCAAAAGCAAGTCCTTGGCCCGTGTGGCCTGGTTTTACCCAGCTAAACGCCCAAAATGCATGTAAGTGGTTTAACGGCAAAGTAACCCAGGAACATTTAACCACAGGTAAAAGGGATCTGGGAACCATAAAAGTTGTTTATACTTCCCAGATATCGTCTTGTGCGTTTAATTCAGGAAGCCCATGTGCTTGGTACACGGGAACTCCACCACACGGTAACACTTAATTTTTAATGCTGGACTGTTTGTATGACTTTTCTTAGTGACCCTCCATTTTCAAGTACAACATATCTTTTAATTGGGTGCTGCTCAGATGTCTGCCATAATCCTCCTTTAATTGGAAGCCACCGCAAACAAATATATTCCATGAGCTAATCAGGAATGTAATTTGTGGAGTGCAGTGGAAAACGTTTTCCTTATTAATGAATTGCTTTCCCGAGGTTTATTAAAATTGTTCCTTGTTGATTCAGAGTCTAATTTCGAGGTGTAAGTACACAGACGATATGGGCTGCAGCTGTGCCATAGTCTCTTTATAATAGTTTGTTTTGAATGCATTTGTATTCTGTAACTACTTTTTAAAATGTCCCCTTCTGGTGCCTTACAAAAACAAATGCTAAAGTAGTTGTACTTGTTTGGTATTTTTCTTTGTAATATGTAAGTGCTTGGACACTAAGTAACATATTTCCTGCTATGTTTGTCAATGTGCACAGCAGTGTTACAATTTAATAGACATGTAGCTCTTGGCATTGCCATGCTGAAAATATTAGACAATGTCCATGCAGAGATCACAGTCACTAGCGGTCACTAGCATTACAATATGCATATCATTTTGACATTGGTATTTGTGTTGAGTAGGGTCCATTGTGTCATACTTATCACATATCACCTACCAGAGTAAGATGTCTAAAGATATGCTTCATATGATTGTATTGTCTGATTACCCTATGATGAAATAATATATTCACTGACGCTGGATTTTTACTTTGGTGTAGAATACTTTTAACACCATTGTACAGCTTTTAACGTTTGTTAGAGCAGATTGTTGTGCTCTGTGTAGCTAATTGTGAAACTGAAAGAAAGTGTTTAACTAAATGTGCATTACTTCAGCTCATCGGCATGTCCCAGTCATTTTCAGAATGGGCAGATACCTCACTGCTTATTCCCAGTGAGTCACTTGCCTCCTTTTTGGCCGTACATAAAGCTAAGCTCCAGGTATAATTTCTAATGCATGCTGACATTGATCCAGCTGGGCCTAATGTAAGCATCCATATGGCATTCCTAATTGTCCCCACGGAGATCTGGAGCTACTACAGTGCTGATCTCGATCTTTCCGGTCTTGGCACTGCGCTGTGCTGAGTGGCTTCCCCTCTGCTCTGAAAATGCAGGGGGTCACTCACTCGGCACAGAAGCCTGAGGCTGGGTTCACACCTAGGCGTTTTTAAGCGCTGATCGAAGAGCTGAACAACGCTCAGCAAGTGAAATCCCATACTATGGGCATGGTTCCCACCTGGGCGTATTTCAGCCCGTGGAAACGCGCTCAAAAACACCCTACGCCCAAACAAGTGCAGGAGCTTCTTTGGGGCGTATTTCAGCCCGTGGAAACGCGCTGAAAAACGCCCAAACAAGTACAGGTGCTTCTTTGGGGCGTATTTCAGCCCGTTTCCATTGTTATTCCCGAGTGTGGCTCGGGGTTAACAAAGCGGTAACCCCGAGCCACACTCGGGAATACAGCGTAGGTCTTACCTTGTCCGCGATCCCCGCTGTGTCCTCCGGCCGCTGCCGTCTTCCGGGTTCCGTCCCTTGGGAGCGTACAGGGAGTTAAATCATACCGCCAGGGAGTTATAAAAACGCGCGTTTCACTGAACGAAAAAACGCGCAGGAAAACGAGCAGAAAAAACGCGCCTATAGTACGCCCAGGTGTGAAGCCAGCCTTAGAGAGAATACCCAGTAGTGTTATCCATGTATACAAGGTGTTCCCTGATTGGACAAGGGGTGGATCTTGACATCACCGCCCTTTGTCCGATCGGAGGATGCCTTGTATTCAGTATATGCGTGTGCTATGGTGTTAGCGAGCCATTAGACTGGCATGGTAGAAAGAGCAGTAATACTTAACCATTGTATAGCATGTCGGAGGTGGAAGTAGAACTTGCATGTATAATCAGCAAATTTGGAATCTCCTGTGTGTATCTATAGTTACAAAATTTGTATAGTAGTTTTTTAGACACGCATGCACATTGATACAATTAGCTGATTTTCTTATCCGCTATCAAATCTTTTAATAGTTAGAATTGATGCCAAGTTGCTGTAAATTTGTCTTTAAATACAGATGACAAACACATTATTTGGCTCCTTGTTCACCCTTATGCACATATTATCTCTGGTACCATATATTGTACAGCTGGCAGAATATTGGTCTAGTTGCCAGAACCCCACAACTGAGTTGGTGGCTAATTTGTAGGTTTAATTGTATGAAAGATGTCACCAGCACACCAAAAATCCTTTTCAGGATCTCCGAGTTCATTTATTCAGAGCCATGTCAAGTAAACCATGCGATTTGTGCAGTTAGCGGCGCCATCCACAGTCATTACAAGCACTCTTCCCTGAAGATCGGGAAATCCGGTAAGGAGTGCGACAAGACATCTATACATTCTAATTGTAGTTTCAGTGACCATAGGTGAAATTGGGTCACATGATGACAGAATTATAATTGAAGACAGGGCTGCTAGCGATTCCTGCTACTGCATGATGAATTCCAGCAGTGATTGCCATGTGAGTTGTTAGTACTGTAGCACAAATTAAACACTTTACGTCACAATATATGGTAAAGTCACTTTACCAGTTGTATGCTTACCCCAACCTGCTGGTAAAAATAAACCAGCAATATTTTTTGGGGGGAGATTAACCTTAAACCAAGGTTCTGTCAGTAGAAACTTGATTTGGATCTCTGCCATGCATGAGGTAAAGCACCTTCATTATTTTCCCTGTAAAGCTGGTTTAGTGACTCACTATAATCTTTCATCACAAGCTTTGTCCCACGCACAGAATGTGAACCTTTCTGCATCCCATCTTCCAAGTTTCTATAACCAACGCAGCTGTGTGCAGCTTTTATTGTTTTGTACCTGCTAGTAGAGTCTTATAATGTGTGCTGAGAAAATTCAGGGAAAAAGAAATTCTTGACTGGTAAAGAAGTATCGCCACAACTTGTTGGGGGGTTTTATGTCATTTTCAGGCCTAAAATGTGGAATATAACATGGGTGCAAAAAATGAAAAAAGGGCCTCAGTCATGAAGGGGTTAAATTCCCCCATGGGACCAACTGCATGTAGCATTTGGTGCCTTTCTGATCGGTGACCCCTTATGCATTGAAATTACATTTTTATTTCTGTTTGTTCTTTGCGTTATCTCCACCCCAGTCTGTGTGATAGGCTGTTAGTGAACATACATGGCATTGACAGATCTAGCACACAGCCCTGCCAGCGCAGACTGTTCACTCACAATAATACAAAATCAGTCAGTGCCGTGAGACTGTGTGATTTATCTGCTGGTGCAGTGGATGTTTACTAGCAGCCAGGAGATCTATCACAGAGCCCTGCCCATTCTGATTGTTCATTTACAATAGTTAATGGCCAGTAAACACTGCAGGGCTGTGTGACCTATCTGCTGGCAAACATACACAACACTGGTGGCTGGAGCACACCGCAACTGCCTGATCAGTTTTAAGTGGCTTGTGTTCTAAATGGAGTTTACCCCTGCTGTGCTGAGTGACATTCATCTCCAGCGTACACCTCCTGCCGTACACCAGTCCTGTTTATTAGCCCTCATTGGGTATTTGTTTACTTGTGAGCAAAGTGACAGTCCATAATGGTGGGAGTAGTTGTCTGACTTTGCTACTAACCAACCACGGGAAGGATCGGCTTGGGACCAAGCGCTACATGAACTTGGTCCCCTGGGGGATTTCATAAAGATTTTAAAGATGTGGTGATACTTCTTCTTTAAGGCAGTTGTGTGGTATTAGAATGTGCATGAACCTACCTGTCTGCTGTAATAAGCAGGTCCAGGGGTGCTGACGTCACCAGTGTCTTTGAAGACTCCGTTGACATCTGCACCCCATTGTAGGGTTGCTGTGGATTTAGTGCATGTAACCTAAAACGGCAACATCTAAAGATCCACTTATTTGAGAGGACAGTTAAGTAGAAGTACATTTTAACAGAACTGCCCATACCCTGAAAATGTAAAAGCTTTAAAAAAATTTGCAGACATCAGTGTCACAAGGTCTGATTTAGGTTACTAAGGACTAGTGCATTTTCAGCACTTTAACCTTATTTTTATTTGCCCATACAGCCTGACTAAAACACTAATTTTCATGGGGTAGCTTCTGTAATGTTAACCACTTGAAGACCAGGTGTTTAGACCCCCTTCCTGGCCAGGCCATTTTTCAGTATTCAGCGCTGCGGTACTTTGACTGATGTTCTTTTTATTCTTTTTTATGGTGTAACTTTTAAATTTGGGGGGGGGGACTTAATTTTTTTTTCACTTTTTTTTTTTTTCACTAAACTTTATTGCTATCACATACAGCCGGCGGATCGCTTGTATGGTGACAGGCATCGCTGCCTGTTTTTAAAAAACGGCCATTTCCCGCTCGCGCGCGCCGGGGGTCGTGTCTGAGCGGACGTCTAAAGACGCCCGCTCAGATCTAGAGAGCTCAGGCCGGCCGTTTTTTTACTACGGCCGGCCCGGAGGTGGTTAACTCTGAGTTCCACACTCTACTGCCTGCTCTCCTCTACCCGCTGAAGGTGTGGGAAGGGACCAGGGGGAAGGTGCCCACGGGCTGCATGTTTGACACCACTGATATAAACATTCTATGGGAGACTACAGGCCACGGTATGTCCAACCTGTAGTTAATGTTGCAGCAGCTACCGAAAATGTCATATTTTGGATGATCGTTAAAAATATTTTTATCATTTAAATGAAGATTGTTAATTCTGTGCATTAATTTATTTGTGGTTTGTGTCCTGTTAATTGTTTTCACTTCAATTTGAGATGTTCTAACTTTGTACTTCAACACGCTGTTTAATGGATAACTAAATCCAAGTACAAAAATACAGTATTTCGTCACTTACTAGTCCTTAGATGTGGTGGTCATTTTGTTTTCTTTGTTCAGGCTAAAAACATTCTCACCAAGTACTCAAAATACCTGGGATTTTGCCAGAATTGTAGTGTCCTTGTCACTTCCAGTGAGCGTAACGAAAAACATATGACAATGGTATGTTTGTAAACTGCTAATCTCCCCATCCCCTGTGTAATGGAGAAGAACAAAGGCAGACATGTTTGAAGTCCAGCATGGATTATGACTATGGCTCCCTCCACAGATACAGTAGAGGAGTGAGTGTAGCCACCTGATCTCAGGAAGTTTGTGATTCTCTGAATTACCAGGGAAAAAAAAGGAAAACGCCAGAAAACTAATGCAGCCACATCATTTTATGGACTGGTTAGGTACAATATATGTTTTTGGTTTTGAGTTTAGATACACTTTAATCTTCTAATTGGGATAGATTGTAATAACCAGTAGCAACCAATTCATTACTGTTTTTTATATGAGAATTAGGGGAAGCTGTGTATTGGTTTTATTACATTATAACTGTTTATTTCATTTAAAATATATTCTAATCATTGTGATCTTTTCCTCCTACAGATCCATAGTTTGCCGAAGATTTTTTTGTATAGTTGGTACTCTGTACTTGTATCGATGTATAACTATGTATGTTACTACACTGCCAGTTCCTGGAATGCATTTCAACTGTTCTCCAAAGGTGAGTGTTTTCTCCTTCTATATCTCTACATTTTATTTGGTTACTTTGATAAGAAGCACAGAGGAGCACCTTGGCAGGCACTTGAGGGTTTTGTTGGTAACTGACCTTCTGTTGGGTGGAAGTGTGTCCAAATAGATGCCAGGCCTTCTACAAGTATGAAGTGTGATTGAGTTACCACAGTTAATGGATGGTTCATATAGGCAGGAGTAGTGATGGTCTTAAACTGATGGCACCTATACATTAAACAATGGGCCCATGATACACTGAACTCAACAGACTTTTCCCCCCCAAATTAATAAGGGGAAAAATAAGATTCTTCTTACAGAGTGCAAGGTAACCCTCCTCTCCACTTGTCCATTCACAGCAGGACAGAGTAACAGCTGGGGAAATGGGGAATATGCAATGGGTTTTGTTTTCTACGCGAGTCAGCAGCCTTGCAAATGATTTTTAATAAGCGTTCAATAACTTATCTAAAATTAGAACTTGATAGGTGTGCTGATTATTAGTATGTCTGATGTCCTCATTGGCTGCTGCTATAAGTGAAGTACATGCCATCAGCATTTTACTGCTCATGAAAGACCCAACGAGCAGTGCTGCTCATGTACGTGACAGATCTTCAACAATTATCCAAAAGCCGTAGGCAGTAGCGGCCACATTATTTTGGAATTCAGGAGACGATCCAGTGTAGGAGCCAGATGGCGTGTTTCAGGACCTGGGAGTTATTACTGACCTCCGTAATGGGCCATGGGTATCATTCTCTAAATGTCAAAATCATCTTTCAACAGGGGTTAATGTATATAGCACTGGCACGCATTCTGCTTCGTTTCCACAAACTCGTATGCGCAAACTTTAGAGCTGACCTCCGGAAATGAAATAAAAAAAACTGCCCTTGCAGTGGGAGCCCTGTGTACATTTTTTTGCATCGGAGTAGTGGTAAAGTGTAATGTTGTATTGCTCACTCGGGCTGGCTCCCTCCACCTGTATGACTGGTCCCCAAAGCCCCTTTTCTAAGGAGCTCCTGGCCAACGTTCACAAGCTAACGTCAAGTGCAATGCAGGACACATAGCCCAGCATTGGACGTGAGGGCACAACCTGGGGCATCAAGGAAGACTAGAGAAATATTAGGGATGCACCGATACTGGTATTGAGTACGAGTACCGATATTTTTTTTTTTCGGTACGCGCCGATACCGAATACAGAGTACCGAAAGTCCCATTCAGGAAGCCAGGCGGCGTGTAATGACTCACCCACCCGGCTTCCCGATTAGCAGGAAAGCCATCCCCATGCTTCTCATCACTAGGTGACGAGAAAGCATGGAGCCGGCTTTCCGGCCAATCAGGAAGCCAGGAGCTGTGTAATGACACGACACGCGGCTTCCTGATTGGCCGAGAAGCCAGCTCCGTGCTCCCTCATCTTGAGGTGACACGGGAGCATGAAGCCGGCTTCCTGACCAATCAAAATGCCGGGCGCCGCGTCATTGCACGGCACCTGGCTTCCTGATTGGCCAGCTTCCGACCAATCAGGAAGCCGGGCAGCACGTCATTACACGCTGCCAGTTTCCTGATTGGCCGGGAAGCTGGTTCCATGCTCGGTCGTCACTTGTGTACTCGCCCACATACTCAGCAATGGCACAGATACCAATACTAGTATCGGTATCGGTGCATCCCTAATAAAATACCTTTTCCCACTACCCCTCGGAAAATCAAGAATTGTACCATTGTTGTGTGGGGGCCTAACTGCAAAGGTAGTTTTGGTTCTGGGGTTTTTGTTTCCCCCGGAGTTCAGCTTTAAAGTATAACTAAAGTCAAACCTTTATTTATTTATTCTTAAAGATTTGGATAATAGTGTAATGAGGTGAAGAGATTCCCTCTACCTAATTGTCCTGATCACTAATGTCACAGGGAATAAAAATGAAGGTCAATCCCAAATTTTTAGTTGCCAGCAGAACAGGAATACAGGGGGAATCTTCCTACGGGGGGCATTTACACAAGACCATTGTGTAAGGGCATTTCCCTCAAATTGCAAATGTATCCTCTCACTTTTTGTTGAGTGTACAGGACAGGAGGAGAAGGGAAATATCTTGAATGAGACACAGATTGCAAAAAAAAAAGTATTCAAAATAGAAAAAAATCTTTGGCTTTAGATAGTGTTTAGTGTCTAATTTATTCCTGTAGTGCTTGTCACTCATTAATTCAGTGTATATTGATGCACGTCTTGGTGTTTTACGCATTGAATAGATAAGAGAGGTTCCAGTCTGCAGAGGAAAGTGAATGAGATGGAGAAACCTGCACACGTGTACATGGCATCACTAAGTAATATGAGTCACTTCCTTCTTTTTATGGTTTCCCCCACAAAGCTGGAGTTGGTGCAAGACACTTTTCCATGATTCACAACTAAGCAGTTACCTTGGTTTAACCGTGGTGAATATTGTTTGTAGCCCTGAGCCGCCCATTGCAGTTTAATCTCAGTGATAACATACGAGAGAACTGATGATAAAGTGCAGTAACCCCCCATAGCAACAACATTTATTTACTGACTGGCAAAAAGTGATCCGGTGGCATGGGTAACATTGAGTAGTGTGTTCTCAGCAGTCTGTGCATTCATCTTTGCTGTTATCAGAGATTTCTGGGGGGCTGTCGCAGCTAATTGGTCTCTTCCGCTGGCTGCCTTGCTGTCTCTGGCTTCAATATTCTAGAGAAGAATTGGAGCTAGATCCAACAAACTATAATTTTCATAAAGAGGCCAGTAATGGTATCCTCCAAATTCCTCTTGTTCCAATTTTCCTTTTAAAGGGACATTGTCATGAAAGAATAACAAAGGGTTCCATCGCTGATCTCTTCATTTGATAGTGCAAGTTCCCTGGCTGTCATAGCTGTGGCTGTAGTGCTGTTGCTGACCTGGAACAAGTATGAGATTAAAGAACTCCCGACTTAATTGCAATTAACCCTTGCAGTGGGGCTACTCATACTGCAATGGGTTAAGTGATGTTTTGGTCTAGAAGTGAAAATAAAGAAGTTTCCCTCACCTGACCGTTGGTCCTGAGGCAGTGACCGCTCACCTCTTTCCCGCTCCGCTTCAGCTGTGGTATGTCCCTCTGCATCCTCAGGGGGAGGGAGAGGCTGCCGAGAGCGCTTTAGCAGCCAGGCGGGAGCACTTAACCCTTACAAAGTGGGGGTAGCTCCACTGCAAGGGTTACATTTGATAAATCCTGGAGTTTTTCTTTTAAGGAATTCTGACACTCCTTTTCAGCACCATTTTTCCAGGTCTGTTACTCAAATCTTGTGAGATCACATACAGGCAGGCATCTATTGTTTTCAGAAGTAGACCAGCAATGGCAGCGCCTTTTAGTTCTCTTATGATGGGTTCACTTTAAATCGGCCTGTATTGTAGTGTTTACATATGCTGTGATACCTTGGTCCTCAACTGGTGGGTGTGTTCAGTGGTAGCCATTTGTTAGACCTATGAAGAGAGATGGGAGAGGAGCATTAGAGTACTGCAAAAATCAGCTTATCAAAGATTTTGTCATCCTATGCAGCCAGAAACATCATGTAATGTTTGTGGACACCCACAGTACAGTATTTTCCACCATGTCACCATCAAAGATATTTCCTAAAGCAAGAAATAATTGTTTGAAAACCTTTTAATATCACCCGACTTTAGCCTTTTTGTATATAATATACTGTGGTGATAACTTGTCATTAGGTGAAAATTTCCAGAATCTCTTGTGAATGAGCGTTTGTTTGTTTTCCTTTTATACCTCATGTATTTATTAGCGACGGGCAACAAAAGGGGAAATTAAAGTTGCAGTAATCGCCCAGCCTCGCCTATATGTGGGTGACGTTGGAGGAAGTGTGGCTCTTAAACCCATTGGCAGTACTTGAATGAGTCCTTCCCTGTTTATCTAACACACATTAATGAAATATAAGGTTTTAGAGCAGAGGTGTCAAATCCAAATTTACTAAGGGCCATGCCGAGGGTTCGAAATCAGGGGCCGGACATAAAAAAGAAGAAAAAAAAAAAGACTGGGACTGCTGACACTTGTAGTGCCCTCACACACAGTCGGTCTGGGATAGACGCCCAGAGGGACAGTATTCAATTGAAGTGCAGGGTCACAGCATTTTTGAAATAAAAGGATTAGTTTACAGTCAGCACATTATCCTCCAGGGAAATGTATTAGGGGAGTACAATTCAGCACACATGGTAAATAGTCCAAAGTGAGCCTTGTATGCTAAACAGGTCAGTAAATCTGGGCTAGTATGCTAATCATCACCTTTTCCATGACCATTAAAACATCCCTGTTGCTGGCTGTAGCCGATTAACTGTAAACAGTTCAGTTTCATCTGAATTAGAAGTAGAAGTGAATGAGCCTTTAAAATCACCACATGCATACAAATGCACTGAGAAAACCTGGGTCGTCTTTCCGAGACACTCCTACCAAACTTGAACCATCGGCCAGACACATGCTTTAGAGTAAAAAAATAATTAGGACCTCTGTGTCCATATTTATTTTTTATGCATTTGATGACTGCGCCGGTCTGAACCAGAATAAAAAATACTATCTGCTTTATTCTGCAATAAGGACTTTAAATCGCAGGATTCGCGTGTGCTTTACAAGAGTGAAAATCCCGGTTTTATGGAGGCACACCATGGTATGTACAAAGTGACATCATATTTTAGAGGAGCAGTATATACCGAGATTTTCATCCTTTTAAAGCGCAAGTTTTGCTGTTGTGTGATATGGTTCTCCCAGTTGTTGCGGTATGATTTCGACAATTGCTGGTTTTAGATCTGCTTTTTAATTTATTTGCCAATAATAAAAACTTTCCCTAATCTGTGAACATTTTTCATGGTGTCAGTTTAGGGACTGTATATTCTTTTCCCCTCCCATTATTTAATGTAGTTTAAAATGTTAGCAATATTAGTGTTCCTCTATTTTAAATCTGACTTTTATTTTCATTCTTGTACTGTTTGCATGTGACCACATAACCTACCCACAGTGC